CCGAACCTACCCTGAGTCCGACCGAACCTACCCAGAGTTCGGTCGGACCTTTTCCCGTTTCAGCTGACTTTTTGCGGAGCTTCCTAAGCAATTTTGTAAGGGGTATAAATAGTTTTTTTTGCTCATTAAAGAAAAAGATTTTTTCAGTTTAGAATAGATTTTAGGTTAGTTTTAGGTTTTAGAGAGAGAAACTCTCAAAATTTTAGAGAGAGAAAGTGAGGAGCACAATGGTTTTCATGGATTTTGGATAATCAAATGAGGAATTTGAAGATCTCGATCTTATATCAATGAGCATTTCTTACTTTCTCTTCTCTTATTGCTTTATTTAGTTGCTTTCATTATGCTTGAGTAGTTTCCCTTCTACTAGGTGTTGAGTGAGGCTTTGTAATGATTATTTGAGTTATTTGAGATAAATTTGATGATAATTGTGTGATTAAATTGATTGAATTGATGTTGGCATGTTGTTTGTTTTAGATTGGATTGATCTCCCATGATAGCACACTTAATTGCATATTGGTTTTAATTTGACAAGGGATTGTGAATTAGAATTGATATATTTGATTGCATTTTGGGTAATTTTCTTCTATGCACCTAGTCAATGAGGGATCTAGGCTAGGAATTTGAGAGATTACTTTTGAGTGTAGTTAATTCTCATTATAATTCTTTCTTTGCATGATTGATTATCAAATGGATTCTCATTAGCTTATTAATTGTTCTAAGTGGATCTTTTCCCCTAGTAGACTTTATCATACCTTGTTCTTTATATGTGTTTTAGTGTAGTTGTAGTGTCCTTTATCCGTAAATCGACTTCGGCATAGCTTAGGCATTAGATTAAGAACAATCTAGCATTACCGTTCCTTGTGGTTCGACTCCGAACTTACCACTAGACTTGTTTAGGGGTTAGTTTTAGGATTTATAAATTTATTTGATTGAGTGTGGAATGTGCGACCGTTCTAACGCCCGTCAATATTGCAAGGAAAATCCAAATTGAAGCAACTAAGGGTGTGAGCATACAGCAGGAGGTTGTGAACAGAGGTTAGGCAAACTGCATGTGGTGAAGCTTTTGTACTCTATTATGAAGAGAGTGATGAGGAAATACATACACCACCTGATAGTGGTGAGGAAGATTTGATTGCTAGAAGGAGACAAAGATTTGGTCTGTTGGTGTCTAAGTATACAGACTTTTGCAAGCTTTGAGTGGAAAGTTGGCAGAAATTTGCAATTAGAGAGGACTTCAAGAAGCTAAGTATGGAGTGTTGCAAGGGAGAGATGTGAGTATTGTTGTAAGTAATAAGCAGAGATCACAAAGGTTGGGTGTCAAATGCATAGAAAGCTGTCCATTCTATGTGTATGCTTCATGGGACACTAGAAGAGCTACAATAGTTGTAAAGACAGTGAAAGGTGCTCACACTCGTCAGAGATTGGGTTGCAAACCAATTTCTTGATGTGATTAAGACAAGGCCACATTGCCAGCCAAAGAGATTATTGAGTGTGTACGGAAGGCATACAGGATGCTTGCTTGTGACCAGAGACTTTGCTTACAAAGTAAAATATAATGTCCATAGACTGTTACATGAGTCAATGCATGACCACTACAACAAGCTGAGAGGGTACTTGAAGGCAATAGAGGAATGCAGTCCTGGAACAGAATTGGAGCTTGTAACTGAAAAGCAAGCTTTCCCGCCAATTTTCCAGAGATTGTTCATATGTTTTGAAGGTTTGAAAACTGGGTGGATGCAAGGTTGTAGGAAGGTCTTAGGAGTTCTGAAGACCTTTTTGGGGGGTCAACTGTTGGCTGCTGGTGGCAGGGACAATAATGACCCGGTGTGTTCAAGGTGAAAACAACTCCAGCTGGGAGTGGTTCTTCATGAAACTTACTGCTTGTCTAAATCTGGAAGAAGGAGAAGGGATCTCAAATCATTTCTGATGAGCATCAGGTATGAGTCCTAGCTTAATGCTTTTACTACAGCTATTTGTAATAGTGTTTTGTGCTCAATTGGTTGTTGTTTCATTTGCAGAGTATAGTGCATAGTGTAGCACAAACACTAGACACATATTTGCTCACTAGCACAAACAGAGGGGATGAGATGAAGTTATTGTTTTGGAGGATTGCTAAGTCATATAATATGGCTGATTATAATGAAGGACTTAAGAAGCTTGTAGAGTTGAATGTGGATGCTGCAACTGATTTCAAATTGCATAGGCCTGAATTATTTTGAGCCTATTTGAGTCTTAGAGTGAAGACTGATGCAATTACTTCAAACATAGCAGAAACATTCAATGGGTATATCATTCAAGCAAGGACCAAACACTTGTTGTACATGCTAGAATGACCTTGACGAAGTTGAACCACTTGAACCCAACCAAATGACCTTGACGAAGTTGAACCACTTGAACCAATCTACCTCCTACTAGCCATTGCACCCTAATTCCAGAGAGAAGAGAGGAAATTGAAAGTGGAAATTGAGAGCAACAATGGAGTTCAATTTCTTTTGGAAACAGAGAAAGAAGAAGAAGACCCAACATTTAAGGGACGAGGCATTTTAAACAAAATAAAAAAAATAAAATTAAAAGGAATATAACCGTTGGAAGCCACGTAGGACTAAAACCGGCTACAACAAGTGAGGTAACCTAAGTAACCTGTAGGGACCGTTAAAAAAGATCGGGGTAAAGGTGGAATTATTAAAAAGAATCCCAAAGGTGGGATTATTAATCGCGGACGCTCAAAAGGTGGGATTATTCCCAGCAATTTTTCCAAAGGAAAATGGTGCAATTAAAAAAAAAAAAAAAAAAAAAAAAAAAAGAGGAAGTATTAGATTGCAATCCTCTCCGAAATCTCAACATCATCTTTCACAATCCAACTTTGAAAATATTAAAAAGAAAATTTGGGAATCCCAAACCGAAAGCTCACAAATGGTTCTTCTTTAGTCCTCCCTCCCTATTGAGCATGGTAGTAACAAACACAACTTATATTTTCTCTTCAATCGAGCAGAAATTTCCAGTCCAACTAAAGCTAAAAAAATTCCCCAAATTGACATTAAAGCAAGAAATTTTACCGTATACATGCTTATCTAAGCCTGTCAAATTTTTTAATTGCTACGTAATTGATAATGGCAAATTGCCCAAAAGATATTATTGACCGTAAAAAACCCACTTTATTCAAATCATCTAGCAGAACCGTCTTTTGATATCCCCTCCAGATTAAGCAAGGGCAAAGTGGACACATTTTAGGGTTGCAGCACAGAGCTTTGTATTGACGGTCCATCTCAATCATCTAACATTTTCATAAATCACAATTAAAACAGAGAAAATAGTAATGAAAACTAACATGGCAAGGGGGTCAGAGCAAGAAGAGAGATATGAAAGATATTGATGAGGCTGGAAAAGAAGCTCAAATTGTTATCTCCATGTAAGTTTGAGACAAGGATTTAAGAAGATGATTTTACGTAGTAGGTGGAAAGGGAGGGGAAAAATAGACGGGAGTGGGAAACTCCACTTTTGTGTTGTTTATTTAAGTCAATCTTACAGGGGTACAGATAGGTTCAGAGCTATAAGATGAATGTGTTGACAAATACACACCATAAAGCAGTAGTTTGGTAGAAAACTCCTCCCTTATTAACCCTGTCCCTAATCTACTATACACATATCATATCCTTGAGAGAAGATTCCCTTACCTCTCCAAACGAGGGAGCAACACAGAGCACGCAAACACTCTGCACCTCCACCTCTCAGCCTCTAACCCTCATCTTCTAATTCATCTCCAAGACCACGTACTGCCCTCCATTTGCTCCTAAATGAGTTAAAACCCATCTTTCTTCTTCCCTCGGTGCCAATAGTCAGCCCATTGTCTTCGTCCCACCACTAATCCTATATTGCTACCCTGCTATGGGTAGCTCAGCTTTTTAGATTTGGGGCAAAATCAGCTTTATGAAAAGAAGAATGGAGGAGGAGAAAGCAGTTGCACTGATAGAGAGAAAAACAGAACATGAAGGGGAACAGCATGACTGACTTGGGTGAAGCAAGGAAGAGGGATTTGCTTGTAAGGGTCTATGTGGAAAGCAGTCGCTGACCTAGGCTATCCCTTTATTAGAAGTGGTTTTCGGTGGTCATTCCAGGATAATCTAATCGCATATTAATTGTGGCTCAAAACTTTAAAATTTAACTTTCTTTTCTTCTCAAAATCCAAAAGACTCCCCCTCTTCTTTTCCTTATTTTAATAAAACAAATAAATACTTCTTCCGTTTCATTAAATTGCAACACTTCTCATTTTATGTTTATCAATGCATTATTTCAATCAAGATATTTTGAAAATTGAGGCGTATCTATTAAGTTCCCACATGACTATAATTTTCCTTGACCATAAATCATATTTCATCCGTTCTTTTTTAATCGCAACATTGGGGATTTTAAGCTTGTCAATGCACATTTTATAACATTTATATCCTAAACGATATTTTAGTAAATATTATAAAAATTTAATATTCTAAAAGGAAATTTTGAAAAGAATCTTACAAAATCTCACTTGACTATATCTTTTCACGTATCAATCAGTAAAGGCGATTAAAAGAGTGTGAATAGTGTAAAATTCCAAACGTTGCGATTAAAAGAGAACGGATGAAGTACTACTTCATCTGTTTTTTTTTTTTTTTTTTTTTTTTTTACTTGCAATACTTTTGCTTATGCACTATTCATGTACTCCACATTAACTAATAATTTAAAGTTAAGTATAAATGTAGTCATATGGGATCTCGTTAAATTCGTCTCGATTTATACATTCATAATATCAAATTCTTATATTTCTTACCTTTGGAAATTAAATATATTAATGACCGAAATAATGTATTGGCAAACATCAAATGAAATGAGAAATGTTGCAAGTGAAATAAACGGAGGAAGTAAAAGTTAGTCACAATAGAGATGTGAATAGTCAATCAGTCAAAGCATTGTAATTTTAGTGAAAAGAAGGAAGTAAATATGGAGAAACATTCTTGATTGCGTACCTGAGGTTCCTACACATTAGGCCCAATCAACTAAACACCGCCAAAATGAGGAGACTTGTGATGTAATCAATCAGGTAACTGTTTCACCAACAACCTCTGGTCTTCAATTGCCTCTTAAAAACCAAGAAACTCAAACAAGCTTGAATGTACCCCTGAAATATTAAGATAGGAAACCAGCCAATTAGATTAATTAATCCATTAAAAAAATGAAATGTAAATGCCCTGAAATATTAAGATAGGAAACCAGCCAATTAGATTAATTTCTTTTAAGCAATGTAATGGAGTTAGTCCTACAGCCGCTGCAATACATTCTCATAATGAAGAAGCTCAGTAGCAGCAAACCCAGAAACTATGCAGCAGGCTATGCTAGCAAGATTAATTGCTTCCCTGTTAGTCAACTCAATCTATGGAGCATAATGACTGTTTAAATATTCATTATACAGTCCAGTTCAGCATCAATAGATATTAGTACAAAATTCTGTCATAACAAAGTTCATTATTTCCCAGCTTTTCTGTTTTTGCATAACAAAAAAGTTATTACCAATTGTACTATATTTTTTGTTGCCAACCAATTGTACTATATAGTTGTAAGAAACCTGATATCATTCAATATAGAGTAATAAAGATTATAAATAGCTTATCCAAAATTTCTTACTCTAAAATCCTCCAAAGAGCTCTCTCAAAGATGAACTAAGATTAATGAAAATACACAGAAGAAAATCTGCTAAGTTGCAGAAAATTATTTAAAAAAAATAAATAAAAAAAATAAAAAATAAAAAAATAAAAAAAAAAAATCATCTTTTTTTTTTTTGGAAATTCTCAATGGTAACACTATAGTTTTTTATTTTCTCAGTGGTAAATAGTAAAAATTCTTATTATCCTTGGTAAACTTTAATTAGTTATAATTATTCAATGGTGACATTAATGAAATTATAAGCTTAACTCTAGTTAACTAAAGACTTAATGACTAATTTAACCTAATCCTCAATTCTAACTTTTCTTCCTAAAGCCTTCAACCCAAAGACTACTACTACCCAGCAACCAGAACCACCGCCCAGCAACCATAGCCGCCGCCGCCATCGCCATCACCACCAGAACCACCGCCCAACCGTCGTCACTACCACCATCAACTGACACAACTTCACCGCCCACCCAAATCGCCCTAAATCCACTAGAAAAAAACCTATCCTCCCTGAAAACCACCCCACCGAAAACACCCTAAACCCTCCCCGTCAGCCTGTGATCAAGCTCACGCCGGCAACCTCTTCCCCTACCCTCGCCGGCTGTCACAGCCCCTCCCCCTCCACCTCCCTCAAAATGTGTCTTTCGCTGCCGAAATCTCATCAAGCTAGGATTTGTTCTGATTTAAGTGGCTGAAAAAGCCTCTTTCATTGCAAGATGAAGATATTCATCCTTGCCCATCACCCCCCACTCCAAACACACTACATACACACACACCAAGGCGGTATTTTACAAAGGAATTTGGGTATTGTTGCTGTTGTACTGCTCCTTGCTATATGTGGACGAAACACATAATTGAAGGTTAGGCGGCAGCAATCGGCGATCCTTCTTCATTGGATCTGATTTCTGCAATTTTCGCTCAATTTGATTGATTATCAACCTAGCTAATTTCCCCAAATTTGCAAGAATCTTATTCAATTTTTTAGGTTTGATCTGATTAATTTGTAGGACAATAATTTAGTAATTTACCCCAAATTTACCCCAAATTCAACCCTAAGTACAACACAAAGGAAATTAGAACAATTTGAAGGAGGAATTGCAGAAATTGGGGAGATTTCGAGCCGAAATTCAATGGATTTCGTTTAGGGGGGGAGAGATTGAGGATTTGAGGGATTGTTTGGAGAGGGGGTGGTGGTTCTAGGGGAAGGAGAGACGCGGCAGGGGTGGGGGAGGGCGCCGAGCAAGGGAGGGCTGGGCGATGGCGCCAGCGTGGTTGGGGGCGGGGTAGAGGTGGTTGGCCGGTGGCGATTGGGTGTTGTTCAGAAAGTGTGAAAGTTGAGGAAGAAAGAGAGGAGGATGAAGATGATAGTTGATGATAGGTTGGGTTTGAGTGAGGGCATTTTAGGAATTTGAGTGTCTTAAGTGTATTAAATGAGGAACATTTTAGGGAATTTTAATTTTTTTATTTATAAATTGTCTCATTAAGTTCACCATTGAATAACTGTAACTAATTAAAGTTTACCAAGGATAACAAGAATTTTTACAATTTACCACTAAGAAAATAAAATACTATAGTGTTACCAATGAGAATTTTTTTGTTTTTTTTTTTTTTGGTGCAACAAATCTACTCTCTCTATTTTTATTAATTGCAACACTTCCTATAAATGGCCTTTTTTTAATAAAATACTACCTTAATTGAAAATACTATTCACTATTTTTTTACATCTCCCCTTAAATGGTTCCCATTCATAGGTCACACCCCACTCACACTTTGTTAATACTTCCCTTCTCACATATCTCTTCTTTTTACATAACTATTCACCCACTATCATAATCAATCAAACCTCACTTACATAATCAATCAATCAATCAAAACCTTAATCCCATAAGCCGATGACATGGTTGAATTCATTGGTGGGAGTAGCTGGGGTAACTATCACTAATCACTAATTGTTCAATATGTTGAGGAGAGGCCTCCACGTCCTTAAATGAGGAGCTTAGTAAATCTCCATGATACTACAATAATCTATAACGTAGCTAACAAAACTAAAATCAATTTCGACTCCTTTAATAATTCAACATCTTGACCATTGCATCTAGGGATGACAATTCAATCCGAGTTCGAATCCGACCCGATCTGAAGAAAAAAAAAATTCGATTCAAATCCGTTTAAAAATAATCCGAATCCGACATAATAGATCCGGATCCGAAAAGGAGGCGGAGCGGACTTGGACCCTGATGTGGATTAAACCACAATAAGGGATACTAGCAATTAGGGTAAACCTAATTCAATAAAGTTTTGATCTTTTCGACTTGAACAAGAAGAAAAGCAACGTAAATTTTGATATTTTCGAAAGAAAAGCAACGATTTGAAATCAGTTCGATTCACTCAAACTAACTCCCAATTTCATGTTTTCATAAACTCAATCACTCTAAATTCTCATTAATGAAAACAAATATTTATAGGCATACAATCCCATGCCTGATATGATAAACAAACCTAAAAGATAAAATAAAATCCTAACAAACTCTGATAATATCTTATAAAAAGATAAATATTATAATACGAATACGGAAAAATAAATCCTAAAAAAATTAATCTACACTTTGATTTTTTGATGCTTGATCCGCATCATTCACTCCCTCTTGAAAAAAACTTGTCTCAAGTTTTCTCCATGTAGCAAAAGACCAAGAAATCATCCAAATTAAACGAACAAAACATGAAAACATATTCTCTTGAAGATCATTATTTCCACCAAAAGCTATCCCAATTTTCAGTGTGGTTGCTTCCATATGCAAACAATTAGAAATATGTTGTACAGCTCGGATCTCATGATTAATTTGCTAGGGTTGCATCAATTAATGGATAAGACAAAGCTAAATCTAATTCATCTTGCACAACCAGATTTGAAATATTATCAACTTTGTTTATAGAATTAGAGTCAACCACCTCCATCTTATGTTGTTCTTTCGTACCCTTGCATCTCAACCAAAATTTCTAGTAATGTTTGCGTTACTTGTTGCAATTGTTGATTCATTTCCAACATTCTCTCCATATGTGTTATAAGTTCAATTTGGTCGTCCATATTGAACAACAATATTGCATTTACCAAGATAAGCCACCAGCAAGCAATCACGAACCCGACTCAAAACTGACCCGTTGGCAGAAACTGACCCAATTTAATAGAAAACTTTATCTAAAAAATTCTGAAATTTTGTATGTGGAAACTAGACAAAAAAAACACTCATATTCAAAAAAAGAATCGCTAAAAAAGCTTTTGTAACAAAGGAGATATAGCCACTTGAATCTGACCCTCAAAACGGTTCAAAACTGAAAAAAAATAAAGGACTTCCAAGATCCTGATAAACTGAAAAATTCTTCTAAAACCTTGACTCTGATACCAATTTGATGTGGATTAAACCACAATAAGGGATACTAGCAATTATAGTAAACCTAATTCAATAAAATTTTGATCTTTTTGACTTAAACAAGAAGAAAATCAACGTAAATTTTGATCTTTTCGAAAGAAAAGCAACGTTTTGAAATCAATTCGATTCACTCGAACTAACTCCCAATTTTCATGTTTTCATAAACTCAATCACTCTACATTCTTATTAATGAAAACAAATATTTATAGGCAATCCCATGCCTAATAGGATAAACAAACCTAAAATAAAATAAAATCCTAATAAACTCTAATAATATCTTATAAAAAGATAAATATTATTCTAATTAAATCATACGAATACGGAAAAATAAATCCTAAAATAATTAATCTAGACTCTGAAATTTTTGATGCTTGATCCGCATCATTCCCTGCGCGAAGTCCGACCGAGTCCAAGTCCGACCCAAGTCCGAATACGTATTGAACGACGTTTTAAAAGTTACTTTGTTGTTGTAAGAGAATAAGCTAGTAACACTTTATATCTTGGGACGATTTCTTGTTTGTTAGTAGCAAATTTAATTTATAATTGGCAAAATTGGCCGCAACATGAACTATTAACAAGTTGCACTCAGCGATACGAACTTTGACTACTAGCTCAAACAGCACGACCTATAACATAAGGTGCACGAAACATCATTAATGAGTGTTGCCACATGAGATTCTCCCAGAAACAGCCTATACATAATATTTTATTATTTTTCTTTTTATATTAATTTTTAAATGCAATTTAGTTAGGCTTTTTTTTTTTTTAATAAAAAAATACCATGTAATTAGTATGGTTCTTGAAGGTGACATGCTACCAGCACCATTCACCATAACCACCACATCACCACCTATCCCCACCTCCACCTCTAAACCAAACTGACCCCACACGCCACACCCACAACCACTGACCACAACCCACCACCCCCTCTCACCTGACCGCACCCCAACAGACCGAAATCCCACAACCACCTTGAAACCCACCGCGTCGATCGGAACCCCACCTCAACCAACCCCAAAACCAGATTGTAAATGGTAATTGAAGCTGAAGCGAAAAGGTGCCTGAAAGGATTTCCAAAGTAATCGAAAATCAGAAAAAATGGAGATATTTGGTACAGACTTTGGCTGTGTAATTGGATAACTTCGCCATAGCCAAATTCCAGAAATAGATTGCTTGCTTCGGGGTGGGTGTTGAACGGCGAGAAAGGGGTGGAGAAAGGGTTGCGGTCTGGTGGGGTACGATGAGGCTACTCTGGCATGGAAGGGGGTAAGTTGGGGCAAACCCTTGCCTGAGGTGGTCGCCGTTTAGGCAAGGATGGCAGCAGAAGCGGGGGAATGGGTATCGTTCAGGGGAGCAGGCTGAGTTGGGTTTTTTTTTTTTAATTTTTTGTTTTTGTTTTTTTAATTATTTAAAAATCTAGGGCTAATTAGACAGTGACACATGGAATGTCACCTTAAAAAAATACAATGTAATTAGTATGGTTCTTGATGCCTAACTAAATTGCATTTTAAAAAAAAAAAGCCTAACTAAATTAGTATGTATTTTTAAGCCTAACTAAATTGCATTTAAAAATTAATAAAAAAAAGAAAAATAATAAAATATTACGTATGGGCGGTTTCCGGGAGAATCTCAGGTGGCAAAACTCATTAATGATGTTTCGTGCACCTTATGTCATAGGTCGTGTTGTTTGAGCTACTAGTTAAAGTTCGTGTTGCTGAGTGCAACTTGTTAATAGTTCATGTTGTTACGGCCAATTTTGCCTTTATAATTTACATACATTCTGTTTTTAAATCCTAGGTTTTTCGGGTTTTTTACGCACTAATATAATGTAAAACAATTATTAGAGACAATATAAGCAATTATAAGCATATCACACATTATTCTCCAAAAAACAAAAAAAAAAAGAGTACTTTGGGTCAATCCGGATGTCCGAATAAATGGATCGGATTCAGACCCTTAAAATGTGAGCCAGATCGGACACAGACCCGGGTCAATCGGATTCGGATTGAATGAATTCCGCCCTCAGCCGGCTGGTGAGCATACGGATGTCGTGCTGGACATCTCACGTCCTGACCGAACAGTCAAGGTTGGGACGACTGCTCTTGAAATATTGGGTGAAGATTTTCACCAACTTTTGAAGGAATTTAAAGACATTTTTTTCATTAAAATAATTTAATTCGTGGATTATAATCTACGTGGCATTAAAATTTTAGATATATCAAATCTAATTCGTTACTTTTATCTAGGTGGCGACATAATTTTTTAATTCAAAAATAAAATACAAAGGTGGACCCAGGTCACCCGAATCCGATCCGCTGCCATTCTTAATTACATCATGTTTCAAAATCTCATACAGATCATTACTTACCAGCAAGCAACATAATCATCGTATTTTCCAATACAGAATAATTTCTCTTCAATATATAACTACACAGTAAGAAGTTTGACTATAAATGTACATCAATAACTGAACTATAAACAAGAATGAAAAATATAGATTGGCAGCATTACCTTGGTAGGACGGACACAAGTTTGGTGACAGCTTCAGCCTTGTGTGCTCCTGAGTCCTGATTTAGTCAGAGGCTTTTTCCCAAGATAATCAAATGTATTTGCAAAGCTACTAGTCGGGACTTCCTCCTTTCCAAATGGCCTGCAGTGCTGTGCCTTGCATGATTCGGGCAGTCAATTCAGGTTGGTGTTCAAATGGATTAAGAGGAATTAATCCCTTATCTTTGACCTCCAAGCCATAGACAAAGGGGAGTCTGATTGAGACAAAACTCTCTGGAGGCAATATAACTTGACATCCAAGGCTGAATTGCAGCAGCTGTTCGTGACTTGAAACACCTTCCAGTTGATGGGGCTCCTGCATAGATGCAAGGAAAAAAACTAGTATTAAATTCATAAAGATAATGGACAGTCAACAAAAAGATAAAACATCAACCCTGTGGTCAAGGTTCAAGCACAAACTAACCAAACTACCAATTACAAACTCATTTTTACAAATTTAAATGCAACAAAGTCAACTAAGAATAGTGGTCAGTGAATACCTCAAACTGTAAAACAGGGTTGGTTGCTAATACAACAGGAAAAGGAGGTGTAACCTGCATCCAAGAAACAGATAATTATCTAAAATGCTCACAAATGAAGGCCTCATAAACTTGCAATAGACCACTTTGACTCAGTATTAGGAGAAAAAGAGTAAGCACATTTAACTGGCATCAAAAGGGATCATGTAATGCCAACTTAAGTCATTCTGTCATAGTGGTGGTGTATTAATACATAGGATACAAAGTGAGTTATAAAGAGAAAAAGAATACAAAAAAGAAATGGAGTTACATATATACTATTCACAGAATCTTTTGGCGAACCACTAGAGAAGACTTCTAAGCAGAAGCCCAAAATATCCAGGGATGCAAATTGAAATATTCTGAAGTCAATCCATTCTGTAGTTCTCCTACATCAGATATTGAGGAGGTTTTACCATAACTTAGTCTTTCTTTAGCATTCTCATTATAAAAAAATGACAATGAAAAGGTCCCTCATGCATGATTTAATAGCAATATATAGAACGCAGGTGGCATCAAGTCTAACAAGAAGGTTATTAGAAGGCTAGAAGCTAAGTGTCAACTTGTAAAGGGTAATTGGGCAATTTGGCTGCAGAAGAGAGAAATGCAACAGATCAAGAAAAGATAGCAATACAGGGGTAAAAATATTTTTTAAGGAGGCTCGTGAGGGAGGAGAAAAAGAGAGAAATAAAGAAAAGGGCCCCATTTCGTGAGGAGAGAGGTAACGAGTCCACAAACCAAAACTGAAATGTTGCAACTAATACAAATCAACCAAAAATTGCAAGTGTGGTGCATAAGAGAGAATGGAGGGTATAGAGGGGATGTTTATGTGGGACAAAAGGAAAAGTTAAGTAAAAGGTTTAATTCAATTCGGAATTTTTTTTTTCTATAAGATTATTAAAGATAAGCATTTACATGTCGCCTTAGAAATCCCTGAATGGATTTCCAATTGCAGATATCAACATGGTACAATTTGTGAAAAAAGAAGACAGAAGCACACAGATGAAGAGTTCAAGATGTTAAGAACTGTCAATCTACCAAGTGATACCACAGAAAATAAATAAGTTTCATCAGTAAACAAATAAGTTTGAAACAACTACATATACATTAAGGAGACTGATGCACAAGATTTTCATACCACAAAAATCCTCTGTAACTGAGATATTGTGCCTGCAAACTTCAAATTTTGCCCATCCTTCTTATTCTTTGATGTCCTGCAATGCGGGCAATTTAGGTACAGTGGTAAATTTCTGTTTAGCAATGAGAATGCAGGCCCATTATTCTCCACATTTAGAGAATGGTGACTCTGTTGAAGATCTGTAACAGAATTAGGTGGAATTGATGAATCAAAAAGTGTATGTTCCACTGGTTTAGACAATGATATTCCATTCACAGCAAGGTTGCTGTCAACCACAGCTTCATTAGCTTTTTCCAAATTGCTAACTTTGTGTGTTGTAGCATTACCACTTGGCGACCGATGCACTTTACCATGGAGATCACTCTTGCCCGATTTCAAGGGACCCCTATTCTTACGATTAACATGTTCCACAGGACGAGTAACCTGAGATCCTTCAGGCAACGAGTATGGTTGCCCAAGTTGATTCAAAATTTCTGAAGATAATATATAGCGGTGGCCACGCGGGCATTCATGCTCAAAACCAACATAAACTACGAAATGCCTAACCGAAGGATCAAACATAGTCTTTCCCCCATTGGCATTATTGTTCTCAGAAGCTTTTTTACCATCATCAACATTTAACGGAATTACATTGCTACCTATATGCAAGAAAGGATTACCATCAACATGGCCAGCATTGTTCAACCCAGATTTGTTCTCTGCTCCTGCAGAAGAGACCTCTTCAGATTTTTCAGATCTTTGAGCATCAGTGGCAGAAATGTGACTTTGCTCTGTGCTTGCAACTCTTACAGCAATTTTCTTAACACCTTTTCCTGGACCAGACGCCAGCTGTGCCTTTGGTTGTAAAGGGGGAAATGCAGAATTAGACGTCGTTGATCCAGCAACAACCTCAGAAAAAGCTTTCTTCATTGTGGTAATTGGAAGACCTCTACCAAAACTGATCTTTCTATGGTCAGATATTGAATCGTTCACAACTTTTCCGTGACCTTCCATTCCATTTTGTTCTTCACCTGGCTCCACCGGCAATGTAGTGCTTTTCTTGGCATCCTTGACAGCAGTTGATTCAAGTTTAAAGTCTGGTTTACTGCGGAAGGAACCTTGCCTCAGAGCATTAGCAAAGGAAACATTTGAGTGCTTCTCTTTCTGAAGAACAATAGTCCATTTCAAAAGGAACTTTTGATCATGCGGAAATCCAGCTTGAAGCAAACCTTTAGAAGAATCATAGTACTGTGCCCCTCCAAGCCGAACCACAGTCCATGATGAAGGCTGAATAGGCCAATTGTCACTCAATTTTGGCAGTTGCAGCATAGGAAGAAGCTTATCACACTCAGAAAATATATTAAATTTGATATTAGCAGATTCAAAATCAAAAGGGTCGGCTCTTAATTGTCGAGAGCGGCCACAAGCACAAGCATGAAGAAATACATATCCACTCTTATGTTCCCTGCTTGTGGCATCTAAAGGAAGTCCATCATTCTTGACTTCATGTCTCTGGTTCATGCACGGTTTTCCAGTCAAACTGATAGCATCACATAGTTGCCTCCCAGACTTCCAGATTGACACGCATTCATCCTCCAATTTTTTTTTTAAATTCCTTCACAGAAGGACCCTTTACCATTGAGTGAAAAGCATACAGAGCCTTTTTTAATTGAGTTTCATGCTGAGATGTTGGGTAACAGGGAGGCAAGTCTTTTAAATAGACTTCCATAGCAGCTGGTAGGGCTTTTTGGCACCATAAAGCCGAAAATTTTCTATTGATCCCCTTGCCACTCTCCAACAGAGACAGTGCAGTGCTAGGTGGATCAGCACCTTTAGGAGCGATCCCTTCAACAAGAGGAGGGATACCATTACGTTGCCGGAGTTTCCTTCTATTTAAATCAGTTTCATCAACAGAACCGGGTTTTGCAGACAAAATTCCCTTTAAAATTAGTTGGCTGGAAGACAACCACATTTCTAAACTGGGAAGCTCAGGAACACTAGTTGCTCTTCCAGAAGAAGCAGATGCTGCAGCTGCTGCTGCAGCTGCAACAGCAACCATACCAACACCTGCTGCTGAACCACTGTTTGCATTTGTAACCATCCCCCCTTTTCCTCTTAAAATGTCAGCCTGCCTAACAATAAACTCCTTTAAAGTCATAATGTCATCCTTATTTCCACTCTCACTGTGACTTTCAAGCAACAAAGCATCAGGAGTTGCCTTTCCACTCAAAACATCTTCTACAAGGCCTGTGGCAAAATCAAGAGACTCACGCCTCAAGATTCCAGAGCTATCTAAAAGCAGAACAGCTCTTGATGCATCAAGGGTTAGTAATGGAGCTAAACCAGTTATTGAACCACTTCTGGACCCTACATGACTACTACTCTCAGATCCCGTAAGAGTCCGGCATTTTTTTATCAAAAATCGAATTTGGGTTTCAGTGGAGGATTGCAATTTCTTAAGTAAACTACCTTCAGTTTTATTTACTGGGCGAGAGAGTACAACAACTGAACTAGAACCTTTCCCTGGCAAATCTGATCTAGCCAAGCTGCTCAAACCTGACTGGCTAGAGGAAGATTCATTTGCCTCCTCAGCCGCAGCACTGGAATTCACCATTTCTGAGAAATCATCAACAAAAGCAAAGAGCGTAACAGGGGTACACTGCCCGGGAAATAGTGCAGTATATGAACCTAAAGTTGACATGACAGATATAGAACTGTTTCGATTTGAGATGCCAGTACCTCTTCGTGGGGAAGGACTCTTAGAGGATGTTGCTGCGGTAGGAGGACGAGAAGATGATGATGAAGGCCTAGTAGTTGAAGGCAATATACTATGTGATTTTAAAAAAGGCATCAAAGCATGTTTTGCAGATTGCAGCACTCGTAAATTTTTCAAAACCTGAGTGTCAAATCGTGATCCCTCTTGGATGTAAACAATTACATGGCACACCTGCAGTAACATGGGAGTACCAATTTTTCCTTAACATCTATAGACCAGTTACCAAGGGAGGAAAAAAAAGGCAGCAATTTACAGAAACCATTCAAAACTTACCAAACATGGAAGATGAAGAAAAGAATTTTAAGGTGTTTAAAAGGAGTCAAACCACAATTGCTTCACTAAAAGCTTTCATTTAATCCTTTTGACAAGGAAACATGTTAGAAAGAATATGACCACACTATGTAATAAAATAAATCCCAATAATTACAATTCAGAATATGAAAACTAGATCAGAGTTTGCCTGCATTCCAGTTTTCTAAGGTCTAACCCCAACCTAGATGGCAAAACTAGGTAGCCATAGTCGCTCCAAGTACTCTAAAAAACCATGTTCTTGATGCCTTACACCCACCTTCCTCCTCTCATTAAGTCATTAGTCTACACCAATGAAGTTACACTATACATCAAATTACTCAACCACCCATAGTAGTTCTTAAAAAAGAGCTCAATAAAACTATGTTACTTGGACTCTTCATTTTATGTAAATTACCCGTGTTGGACACTTCGACCCTTCATTTCATTCTATGATCAAAATCATGAATATATGTCACAAAATAGCTGAGTTAGACACTTAGACTTTTAGACACATAACCATGTCGTACACGAGTTCCCAAGTCCAAGCAACATAGGTTCACTTCTCTATTTAATTGAAAAAGTAGACCACTTATCATTAATCAATTGCAATTCATAGTTTCATACATAGAACATTGTTCATATCTTCATTCATATGACCTACCCCTTCATTTCTCTAGTTAGCAATTCTAATCACAATATATGGCAAATAACTTTATGTCCTTCATTAGAAATCCAATTACAAACAATCAACAATATCAAAAAGCTCATAGTAAAATTAAGAAAATTGCAAAATAAATGAATCAAATAAAAATTGAAACGAAAATAAAAGAGCTTACAGTGAACATGAAGAGCATTCCCTGAATATCCCCAAACTCTTGTTCTTCAACAACGGAATCGAAACCGGAACCAGAACACATAGCAGGACATTTGATCGAACACATTTGAAGAAAGAGCAAATTCTTCTGCTTATCATGATAATAACTAATCCTACGATTACTAAACCAAAGCTTAAACTCTTCACTAACCTCCTCATTATCATCTGAAACGACGCCGAGAGGCGTATCGCAGCGACCGGAACCGAAGACATTGGAGTCGAGGATTCGATTGATGAGCTGAGAAACGTCGGAGTTGCGTCGGGCGATGAATCCGACGACGACAACGCCAGAGGGAAGTTGCGGGGGCGGAGGTTGGGCGGAAGTTGCGGAGGAGAGAGAAGAGGGAGGCGGAGGTGGCGGCGGAGATGGAGAGGATGGAGATGGTGAACAAGATGAAGAAGGTTGAGGAGTTAGAGGTGGCCGAATTAGGACTCGCATTGAATTGGGGTTTGGTTTGTTGTCCATGCTTCAATTGTTTTTGATTTGAATTGGCTTTGGATATATGGTGGGATGTTAAATAAGTTATGCACATTACATTAGCACATACAGTAGTAGAATTTGTAGTGTATTTTGCGTGCGTCTGGCCACATCATGTCGTCTGTTGTAAAATAACAAAATAACCCCTATAATACTAACCGACTAATTTCTATAACATTGATCGAGTAATCCTTGCAACACTAATAAAGTAATTCGTGTAACATTGACCGAGTAACCCCTATTAAACCAACGAAATAACCCCTATGATTGTTGGCCACACGGTGTAGCCAGCCACATATGAAAGTTTGTGTAGAATTTGTGGGGTCTATCTACTTGTGTAATGTAATGAAATGAAACGTCTTTGTTTTTTTTTTCACTTTTTGTATTTTTGTTGTTAGGGGTGGGAAATTATTAAAAAAAATACTACTCCTTACAAAAAAAATAATTAATTACAATAATTAAAGGTATTTGATAAGTGGTTTATTTGACCACTTATTGTGTAAATTTAAACCCGATTTTGCGATCATTTCCCCTCTTTCTAACCCAATTTTGAATGAAAATGTTTTGTCTCGGCTTTCCCCCTCTTGGTTTGTGTTTGTCCATGTTTTGCAGGTCTATGGACTCAATTAGGCAGGCTTTCGGTGCATGAATCGTGTTTAAGACAAGAGGATTGAAGATTGGAGAGGGCGCTCCAGGGGAGCGGGCGTGCACCTCTCATGGAGCGGGCGCTCCTCGACTCTAGCTACATTCTGCCCAAGTTCAGGTGATGTTAGGAGCGGGCGTGCTCCTCACCAGGAGCGGGCGCTACTCCCTTTGAAGATTGAATATGCCCATGCTGCTGGAACAGGGGAGCGGGCGTGCATCATGTGAGGAGCGGGCGCTCCTCCCTGACACTTTCAAATCTGATCCTTCATTGAAGCATTCTGGAGAGGGCGTGCAGCCGAAAGGAGCGGGCGCTCCTCATTGTGGAGCGGGCGCTCCTCGCTGGGAATCCGTTTTCTTTTGACGGATTTCCCTATGTGTTTCGGGGAGTATAAATACTTCCCCTTTAGCTCATTTAGAGTGTGGTACAGTAGCCTAGTTTTCAGAAACCTCTCTTAGTTTGAAACATTCCTTAGGATTAATTTAGCTTAGTTTTCATCAAATCAAATCATTGTATTAGTGAAATTCAAGAATTATTCTCAAAGTTTGGCAATTTGTATTCAACATTTGAAGCTTCAATTAGTAATTTCTCCAACCTTTTTCCACTTAATTTCAGATTTTATTTGGTATTTGCATGTTATTTAAATCTTCTTAGTTCTTGGTAATTTGTTATTGGATGATAGTTATTTCAATTGTTAACCACTTTTCCCCAATTATTGAAGTATTTAGAACCCTAATTCTTGATTGCATGTTGATAAACATGAGTTGTGAGTAGTCTTCTTGCTAGGGGTTGGGTGAAGCTCGACCTTTTGGGATTAACTATGCAAATGTGGGAGAAGCATTGATGTTTGTATTGCAATTAAATTGATTATATGAGATTGCTTGTTAGTTCCTCATGATAGGTTTAGCTACCCTTGACTTAGGAGCTTGATAGTATGATATGCCTAATTTGACATGGAAGTGTAAATTGAGTACGTCATTACTTATTGTAATTTGATTATGTATCATCTATTGCTAAACTAATGAGGAATCTAAGTTTAGTAGTGTGAGTTGTTTTCTAATTGCATGAGGTTGATTTTACATATAGTCCTTGCTATATCTTGTCTATTTTACTCCCCGTTTGCCTATTTGCCTTGGTTGAGTGGATCTCATTCCCTAGTATCTTTAATTCATTGATTTAGAACCATAGTTTGTTTGTCTTCTTGACGAACCCCAATTCACCAATTGACTTCGAATTAGCTTAAGTGTAAAGATCTTTGGCAACCATATCCCGTTCCTTGTGGACCGAACTCTTACTTGTCATTATGCTTGGTTTGTAAGGTGTTTGTTAATAAATGTGTTTGATTGAGTGTGGAATGTACGACCGTTCTAACGCCCATCAGTATTCTACTCCGTAATGGATAAAAATTAGATAATTCTTAAGCCATGCTCAGTTTTTGAAAATAATACATTTGAAATATAGATTGAAATCTCGAGAGAAATGAAACTTAATCGTTAATATTAGTAATAAATAGGTAAGTAATAAAGTTCCTAGGCAAATTAATGATTCAACAAAAAAAAAAAAAAGAGGAAAATTTCCATAAAAAAAAACTCTAATTTAGTATAGGGTTATAGACAATTAAAAGGTTAAGGCACGATTTGTCTTATTTCAAATGATATAAATTCAAATAAGATAAGTTTATTTAGAAATTGAAGGTTTTATGTCTTCGTCAAGTGCAATTACTAGATATATAAATGGATCAAATTATGGAGATAATTAAGTTCGTTCATTTGGGTTGTCGTTTTATCATAGCTAGAGGTACTAACGATCTTTGGGCTAGTAAAATACAAAGCCCAATTGAACGGATCCTATAAGGTCACACAATGGGGCTAGATTGAGCATAAGAGGAAGAGGCCCATGATGGGTCTTCTCTCTCTAGGTGGCCGGCCATATGAGGAGTCATAAGAGGGTTGCGCTTTGCTTCCTAGTCTAATTATAATATGATTATAAATAGACTAGGTGTCTAGGGTTGAACATAACATTCAGTGATCAGTTGATCAAACCCAAATTAGCAAACACAAACCAACCCTTCTCAAACTCTCTCTCTCTCACGTCCATACTCCTCCTTGCGCCGGTGATTGTGCACGGTGGTGGTGGTGGTGCTTCGTGGTGGTGGCCGGTTGTCCATAAAGGTGGTGATCGTGGTGCAATCCTCCTTCATTCGACCAATATAGCATTGGTGGAAGGCTCGTTCAAATCCCGTGGACCAAGTAGAGGAGCAACGTTTGGGGCTCTATTCTCTCCCTAATTGAAAGTCAATCGCAACGTGGACATCACGCTTTAAAGGTATAATTATGTGATTTTTGTGTGTTATGCATGTGATTCTATTTTAGGTATGTATGAATAAGATTCATGAAATTCCGCTTAGACTACCTAAATCCCTACAAAAAATATATAATTTTAGGAAAATTTATTAACTTTAATATTTTTAGAAAAGGAATATTAAATAAAATAGGAAAAATTGAAACTAATAATCCCACATCTGCCTCATTTTCTCAATACAATCCCACCTTGGGAAATTTTGGAAACAATCCCACCTTTAACCCCCATATGCTCAAAACGATCCTTTTTACCGACAACTTTTTTAACAGGTTAAATTTTTATTTTATTTTAAATTTTTTTATTTCTTAAATCTCTCTCCTCTTACCTTTACCTCCCCAACCCCTTTAATGGTAACCCCACCATAACCACCACCGCACCACGCACCACTTTACCCACGCCTCACCGGACCCCAAAACCCCACCCGACCCCACCCCGAACACCAAATCCCACCCCCTCTTACTAGGGATTGCAATTCTAAATAGATATCCGCAAATCCGAACCACCCAATATAAATAAATGGACGAAAATCCACGTTAAATGGATGAAGGGCGGGTGACGGATGAAGCGGGTGACGGATCGGGTCGGATTCGGGTGGAGCTCCGTTTCATCCATCACCCGATCCATCATCCGATCCGTCATCCACCCGAATATTTATACATATAAATTATTGGTTTTTTTCAAAAAAATTAATAATTTTACCTTATATATTGTATGTACTATGTATACATATTTTCTAAAAAGCATATGGAGTAGTTTCTAAAATGAATTTTATAGTAAAACATTTTTTTATCTAGCTTGAGTTTGACAGTAAAATAATTCACTGACATTTTTGTAAGTAATATAATATACAGCTTAACTACATTTTTTTTACCTCACCCCATTTCCCCTAATATACTGTACAACATTTTTTTGTTTTGAAAGCAAGTAGAGCTTAACTACATACTTCATAATTATATTTTTGTGATTATTGCTATAGTTTGGAATTAGAAGCTAATTAATTGTTTATTGTTCAAGTTTAAAATTGGCTAAAAGTTTTTTTCTTAAAATAATGTATTAGATAGTTAGAGTAAGGATTATAATGATCACGCGCTAAGCATCCGATCCACCAGTTTCACCCGCGGATGACAGATGGATCGGATGCGGGTGATGGGTTTTGCGGGTGACGGGTGGATCGGGTGGAGCGGATGGTGGATGCGGGTGAAGCTCCATCCGACCCGAATCCAATCCGTTGCCATTCCTACCTCTCACTTGACCCCCTTCACCGGACCCTAAAACCCCAACGGACCCCACCACGAACACCAAAACCCCACCCCTCACCGAACTCCGAAATCCCACATGAACTAAACCCCTAAAACAAGAAAGATCATCATCGCCATCTTCGTCTTCATAATCATCAAAATCATCAGTACTTTCACCATTAAAAACTCCATTAACATTCGCGTTCACAGAAAATTTTGAAGTACCCTTTGAAGCAGAAGCAATTATTGTCACTTTTTTTGACAAGCCATTTCTTCTAACATTGTTTTCGTTGAAATTGACCGAAAAAAAATCGAGCAAAAAACACCAAAGCCGAACACCCCACAAGTTCTATTTACCCCAATAAGCTAGCTTACTGTTTTGGATGAGCTCTGATAACTGTTGTTTGGGTAAAGGTTTTATCGCCTAAGGGGGATTCTTACACAGTCAACAAGGATTAGCTACCCGGGGGTTTATCCGAGGATAACCGCTTCGATGATAAAGTCAGTAATAGGTTGATAAGGTTAAGAAAGGAGATATGAGTAGAGAGAGAGATATAGAGATAGAGAGAGAGAGAATATATAGAGAGAGAAAGTATTTTTGAGAGAGAGAAATTGTACATTGTAAATAAGTTATTGCTTGGGTATTTATAGGAAGATAACCAAGCTGGTGCCACATGTTAGCCCACGTGGCTAGCTTATCAAGTGGATGTTGGGGTGCCTACGTGGACGGAAGCAGTTCTCCATGTGGATGTCATTTATATGCCGATATAGGGTATGAT